GAAGAGGGGGAGAGGTGTGGACTGAAGTACAACAGGTCTGAGAGGGCCTCTGGTTGAACATAGGGGGTGACAGAGGTGGGATGGGGGCAGTGATGGGGGGATGGGATGTGAGCGGGATCTCACGGGTGTGACATGGCCTGTCACGGTCTCTGGAGAGCCAAAGATTTGTACAGGAGCGCCATGATGACATTCCTAAGGGATACAGGTGAGGGTTCGCTGGCAGCCATTGTCAGAGCCCGCTATATCCCCCATCAACAAACTGAAACTCCCTGACCCCTGAAATGCAGCATTCCTGCCCATTTTAAAACAGAGACACACACACTGACCCCCCCCCCCCCCAATACAGCTCATCTAAAGGAGCCCAATTCTAAATTTAAATGGATTCCAGGAAATACTTCATCCAACTCCAGGACAGAGAGAGGAATGAGAAATACATCATGATACTTTCACAACAACATTAAAGCTTGTCCTAAAGAAAGGATGTTGTTGTCCCTTCTTTAGCCACATCAGCCACATCTGGCTCTATGGCTCTAACATTGGCCACATTCACCCTGGTCCCCTAATCTCTGTCTCAATACAGAGCTTTGTGTCCAGGGGAATAGTGACGCGAGCCTGCCGGACGGATATCCTGCCCTCTCTCAGTCTGCTCATTGTGACCCCTCACCCCTCATGTCAATCTTTATCTGCCCCATAGATCCCAACACATTCAGGACAAGTTCTTCCGTATGGATGAAGAGGAGAGCAGAAGAGCCACAGATACCAGAGGAACAATGCTATCTGTGTGAGAAAATACTAGACAGTCTATTTGGAGCTGCATGACAACATGTTTGTAACCACCTAATAGTTCCAATGTGTGATCCAAAGGGATTTACAGTTACAGTATGTTACTGCTCAGATGGTGAGTGTTTCTAGTATTCACTCTTCACTCAACACTTTCACATTCACACTGATGCTGAGTTTCCATCAGATTTACCTCAGTATTTTACCCAAAAGGCTCAGAATTTTGTTTCCATCTCCACAGACCGGCACCCATGTCTCACTGGGCCATAGCCTCGGCGGGCCTGCTCTGACTTGGGGCCAAAGCCTGGACACTGGTACTTTTTAGCTGCCATTTAACTGTGAACATGGGTTAACACCTTTCTATGGTTAACACCTTCTCACAAAGCAACTGTCTTGATGATGAGGAGGTTGCTGATTCTGCTCTTTACAAGGTGTCAATCATTTACTCCTCCCTGCTCCCGGTCACCCTCCTGATGGAAACAAAATAACACTAGAGCTTACATTAACATAAACACTGGCGACAGGTGGAAATTGAGCAAGACCGAGCTTCTCAACACTGTCTCTCAGCACTTTCCATTATGACCTTCCCGTTGTGAAGCAGAGCCACTCACTACATCACCAGAACCTGTCTTGTATTTTACCCCTGCTGCTCAGATGAGGGTGGAATACAGAACATCAGGGGCTCTATTGGACACGGTGTCTAACCGTTACTAGTGGGTAACCAATTGGTTCCGGTAGGTTAAATAACTCACTTTTGCACTGTGCACCCACTTTTGAGCACTTATAAATACAAATTTAGAATTTCTCTATGATCTTGGCTTTGTACAGTATTTCTTATTGTGGGTTCTATTGCCCTTTAGACACAATGGGGTGCAGGTTTCTCTCTTTATGATATACAGATATGTCAGTACAGATAGACAGACACCTGCAGATTGGCATGTTAGGCATCTTAACTTTGATCCTGCTCTGGTCCTACGTACAGTACAGACCCCAGCCCAAAGTCTGCAGAATCAGACACGAGCTGCAGGCATGACCCCTAACCCCTGACCCCTGTACCTGGGAGATGTCATCCCACGGCTTGTCATCGTAATGCGTAACCATGAGGCTTGCTGAGACACAAGATACTGTTGATCTATGTCTCGGCCATATGCACTCACTTATAAAATCTAGCCTGTAGACTCTCAGTCAATGAATTGTATGATTATTTGACACTTGTTTGATATCTAATATGAAGCAGACATCAAAACAAAATATATATGGTATTTTACATTTTGATATCTGTAACTCCTAAAAGGTAATAGAATGAGATTAAACAGTCATATGAAAGTGTAACATGGACTCACCTCAGAACTAGTGGGCGGGAGACAGTAGGGTTGTCCTCCATCACTTTCAAAGATCTGCAACAGAGAGAAACACATGTTTCCTTGACTAAAATCCCTGTAGTCATCTATTAAACAGCGGTAACCCATAGCAGCAGACTTATTACACAAACATTGTTATTATGTAGCTAATTAAAAAGTGTGCAGTGAGGGCCTGGTGCTTTGATACTATTTCCATGCAGGCTGGGACTGTGACTAGGCTGGGACTGCGGCTGGGACTAGGGCTGGGACTAGGGCTGGGACTGGGACTAGGGCTGGGGCTGGGACTAGGGCTGGGACTAGGGCTGGGACTAGGCCTGGGACTGGGACTAGGGCTGGGACTAGGCTGGGACTAGGCTGGGACTAGGCCTGGGACTGGGGCTGGGACTAGGCCTGGGACTGGGACTAGGGCTGGGGCTGGGACTAGCGCTGGGGCTGGGACTAGGGCTGGGACTGGGACTAGAGCTGGGGCTGGGACTAGGCCTGGGACCAGGCTGGGACTAGGCCTAGGACTGGGTCTAGGGCTGGGACTAGGCTGGGACTGGGACTAGGCCTGGGACTGGGACTAGAGTTGGGACTGGAACTAGGCCTGGGACTAGGGCTGGGGCTGGGACTAGGGCTGGGGCTGGGACTAGAGCTGGGACTAGGACTAGGCTGGGACTAGGCCTGGGACTGGGACTAGGTCTGGTACTAGGCTGGGACTGGGAATAGGCTGGGACTGGGACTAGGCTGGGACTGGGACTAGGCTGGGACTAGGGCTGGGACTAGGCTGGGACTAGGCTGGGACTGGGAATAGGCTGGGACTGGGACTAGGGCTGGGGCAGAGGCAGCCTGTGAGGCTCCAGAGGGAGGCAGTAATAAGTAGTGTAGACATCCAGAAACAGGACTCCTGTGTGGCAGGAGAGAGAGAGAGAGAAGAGATGAGAGGACAGACAGCCTGCCAGGGTAGAGAGAAGGGCGGGGGACTCCTCCTCTCCCTCTTCAGATCCCCTCTCGCTAACTCTACCTCTTAATCTCTCTCTTCTTGATCCCTTACCTCCCTCCCTTCCTCCCTGCCTCCCTCCTCCTCCTCCTCCTCCTCCTCTCCCTCCCTCCCGACTGATGTAAGGTGTGTTGTGGCAGGCACGCAGGTAGGCATGTGATGAGTCCCTAAGCCCTCTAGGAAGGGTGACTCAGCAGGTTCAGAGGGATAACTGATGACGCCACTGCTCTACTGTACTTCAACACAGCTAAACCAAACACTCTGCTTCGCTTCAGATGAGACTCGGAGGAGAAATGAACATGGCCTCTCCAGACAGATGCCAGTAGTAGTGATATACAGAGCTCCATTGACCGCCGTCTATGGAGGTTATACATGCTGTATGCAGCACAGAGCAGGTCCTGTTATAGTAGCTGTAAACACCGCTGTCTGACTGCCGTAAAGCCCACTAATTTTAGAACTCTTAAACTTCTCCCACAAATGCCTGGGCCCTCCGGCCTGCTGCAGCCACTGAACCCTGGCCAGGCAGCTCCTAGGGTAATGCTACAGCTCTTTTGATTTTGGAATCACTAAGCAGGGCAAATAGGATTTGGGCTTAGTCAACAGAGATGACTCAATAAGAGGACTGTGGGATGTCGTGGGAGGGGAGCCGGTGGATAATGTTTATAGAAGTAGAGAAAGAGAGCTGGAGGGAGAGAGCCAGGGTAAGAGAGAAAGAGAGCTGGAGGGAGAGAGCCAGGGTAAGAGAGAAAGAGAGCTGGAGGGAGAGAGCCAGGGTAAGAGAGAAAGAGAGCTGGAGGGAGAGAGCCAGGGTAAGAGAGAAAGAGAGCCAGGGTAAGAGAAAAAGAGGAAGGAGGATATGAGAGATAGAAAGTAAAGGAATGAGAGAGTTTGGCATTATGACATCAGCCTGCTGTCTATACTGAAAATAAATATAAAACGCAACATGCAACAATTTCAAAGATTTTATTCAGTTACAGTTCATAGAAGGAAATCAGTCAATTAAAATTCATTAATTAGGCCATAATCTATGGATTTCACACTTGGGAGCCAGGCCCAACCAATATAATAATATAATATAATATAATATGGCATTTAGCAGACGCTTTTATCCTAAGCGACTTACAGTCATGTGTGCATACATTTTTTTACGTATGGGTGGTCCCGGGGATCGAACCCACTACCCTGGCGTTACAAGCGTCATGCTCTACCAATTGAGCTACAGAGGACCACCAATCGGAATGAGTTTTTCCCCACAAAAGGGCTTTATTACAGACAGAGATACCACCATGGATTATCTTGGCAAAGGAGAAATCGTACGTAAACAAATTTGTGCACAAAATTTTAGCAAAATAAGCTTTTTGTGTGTATGGAAAATGTCTGGGATCTTTTATTTCAGCTCATGAAACATGGGACAACACTTTACATGTTGCGTTCATATTTTTGTTCAGTATAAATCCCTCAGTAATAAACACGTGTCATATTGCCTCATTGGGAGGACAGAGAGCAATGATGTCACACAACATGACGGCTTAACTAGTCTCCAGGAAAGATGGGAAACTAATTCTCACACTAGACCGACACTATCTACACTCACACTCTTACAAGACAGCAGATGTACCTGGAAAGCCATCAATCTACAACTCCCCTTGAAGCAATTAGTCACTCTTTTTAATAGGTACCAAGGTCATAGAAAGGCACAGAAATGTATCCCAACTGGAGAGCTTAGCTTAGCAGGGGAACCTGTGAATAACTGTGGGGCTGTTTAATATTTAGTGGACTTACACAAACCATCTGTTTGTCGCTGTAGGGCTAAGTACAGCAGGCTACAATTTACCACATATGGCTTTTAATAATTCATGCTACAGAACTGTTCCTGCTCGTCATGCGCTGTGAGCCACCTCGGCCTTCTGCGCTGTGAAACCAAACTGGGTCTCATTAGCTAGCCTGCTGGAGCTCCCAAACACACCACAAACATCATCACACACACATATAGTAGCCCCGCGGAAGTGGAGGGGTGAGGAGAGTACTGGGAGGAGCAGGGAAGACCTCGTTTAGTCTGCATTAAGGACACCTGGCCACCTCTTTTGAAGAGGACTACGGAGAATCAGAAGCTGGCAGTTAGCAGTGTCTACATTATAGCTGGGTGCTTAATGCTCCCTACAATCAAAGATACACCAGTCAGTCCATCAGTCAGAGCCAGTAAGAGACATGGCCGTGGAAACATTTATGAATCCTCAAAGTGAAGCCTCCAGCTCAGACGCAACACAAAGCAGAAGACTGTCAAACTATTTCAGAGAAAATATTGTAGTGATGTTGTGGCATTTGACATGTACGCACTGAAGTAAGCACTGACATCATCTTAATCTAGTGTACTTCAGTGTAGTAACTACACCATTATCCAAATTCATTGATTTTCATAATAGGCTAGATCCTGGGAAGTGGGAACCAGGTCTTTTCCCTGCCTTAGAAGACTCTGCTGGGCAGTACCTTCAGAGTATAGGGGCTGGGGGCTGAAAACATCAATAGATAATGAGCCTGTGTGGAAGTGTAATTACCACAAATAAAATATGAGCTTATTACCTTTTAATAAACACAATCTTGTTTATGGGGTAAAAATGCACACCAAGGCCACATTTCAACTTTCTCTTAGAAATATGAAAAAGTCTTGCTTCATTTTCCTTGTAGGCATAGGTGTGTGTGTGTGTGTGTATGTTCTCTGTGTGGGCATTTAGTGTGTGTGTCCTGTGTGTGTGCAGTATGTCCAGGTACCATACCTGTCCTGCGGATGGTCTCTTGTCACGGCCCCTTTTGGTGAGATTGTCCAGGCCTTTGAGGGAGGAGAAGAGGCCTTTCTTGTTGCGTGATCTCTGGCTCAGGGACATGGAGCGCCTCCTCAGTGTGGCCTCATCCCTGGAACAGATCTGACGACATAACACACCGTCAGGGCTAGGATTAAACTCTGCAGTCACACATCAATCAACCTGCTTAAACTTCAGTCTATTAAGACACCCTCCATCTCAACCAGAGACTGACCAGTGCATGGAAGGAGGACACAGAGAAGATACTCAGGCGTCCCAGGGCGGTCTTGGAGGGCCGGCTGGCTGCAGCCAACAGGCTCTTGGGGTTAGGCAGCTCGCCGCCCTGCAGGCTGGCCAGGTAACAGCGCATCCTGAACAGGTCCATGTTAAACTTCTCCAGGTTCTGCTCCCACTGCTGGATCTGTAGGTAGGAGGGAGGGTTGGAGAAATGGGGAGGGGAGAGAGGGGAGAAATGAAGGGAGGGAGGTCAGAGAGAACATTAAGTGTGCATTCCATCAAGCTGGGATTGTTTACAGATGTGGTGGTGGTGGGAGTGGGTGGGTGGGTGGGTGGAGCTGGTTGAGGGCAGTAAGGTTGATGATAGTGAAGGAGGGTTGTAGTGGCGCAGTGGTCTAAGGCACTGCATCGCAGTGTTAACTGTGCCACTAGAGATCCTGGTTCGAATCCAGGCTCTGTCGCAGCCGGCCGCGACCGGGAGACTCATGGGCGGCGCACAATTGGCCCAGCGTCGTCCAGGGTAGGGGAGGGAATGGCCGGCAGGGATGTAGCTCAGTTGATAGAGCATGGCGTTTGCAATGCCAGGGTTGTGGGTTCGTTTCCCACGGGGGGCCAGTATAAAAAAAAATATATGTCTTCACTAACTGTAAGTCGCTCTGGATAAGAGCGTCTGCTAAATGACTAAAATGTAAATGTAAAATGTGTGTGTGTGTGTGTGTGTGTGTGTGTATGTTTAATGCAGTGTATCTTATTCTCTGCAATAAAAGTAATGGGAGGGGGTTGATGAGCACCAGACCACCCTATAACCCTCCCCCTAAATACACACACAACACACTCACATGCTTCGAGACCCTTTTTGCACTATGTACTGTAAAGTATGAGATGGTGCTTATTTTGTTAGCTTGGGGGGTTCACTTTAATGAGATACCTGTGGAGTTAAACGACTCTCTATACAATTGACTTTTATAGTGCTAGTGTGCAGAGAGTTCATTTACAAGACAGACCAGTACGGAATCCGGTCCTCCCATTAACACTGATTCAGACTAATAGAATCCTTCATGGTTGGGAATGAGTTGGATAGGGGACCCAGAGATACCTCTGCTGCAGAGGATAAGTTCATTAGAGTTACCAGCCTCAGAAATTGCAGCCCAAATAAATGCTTCACAGAGTTCAAGTAACAGACACATCTCATCATCAACTGTTCAGAGGAGACTGTGTGAATCAGGCCTTGATAGTCGAATTGCTGCAAAGAAACCACTACTAAAGGACACCAATAAGAAGAAGAGACTTGCTTGGGCCAAGAAACACGAACAATGGACATTAGACCGGTGGAAATTTGTCCTTTGGTCTGGAGTCCAAAATGGAGACGTTTGGTTCAAACCGCCGTGTCTTTGTGAGACGCGGTGTGGGTGAACGGATGATCTCTGCATGTGTATTTCCCACCGTAAAGCATGGAGGAGGAGGTGTTATGGTGTGGGGGTGCTTTGCTGGTAACACTGTCTGTGATTTATTTAGAATTCAAGGCACACTTAACCAGCATGGTTACCACAGCATTTGTTTAACACTTTTTTGGTTACTACATGATTCCATATGTGTTATTTCATAGTTTTGATGTCTTCACTATTATTCTACAATGTAGAAAATAGTAAAAAATTAAGAAAAACCCTTGAATGAGTAGGTGTTCTAAAACTTTTGACCAGTAGTGTAGTGTCATCCAAGGGTTAGTGTCTGGGCAGGGCTGTGTTGTCCTAAGTGTCATGCTTGGTCAATCCGCTGAGATAACCCTGTATCTCTACTGCTTCTATAAAGTCATTACAATGGGGTATTCTGGGGGACAGGAGAGGATCATTTTAAATGGAGAGCAGGCATTACATTGTAAATTACAACTACAGCACCCGGTTTCACAGGAAGGCCAAGAAGATCATCAAGGACCTCAGTCACCCGAGACACAGCCTGTTCACCCGCTACCATCTAGAAGGCGGAGACGGTACAGGTGCATCAAAGCTGGGACCGAGAGACTGAAAAACAGCTTCTATCTCAAGGCCATCAGACTGTTAAACAGTCATCACTAGCCAGCCTCCGCCCAGTACCCTGCCCTGAACTTAGTCACTGTTACTAGCCAGGTACCACCCGGTACTCAAACCTGCACCTTAGAGACTGCTGCCCTATGTACATAGACATTGAACACTGGTCACTTTAATAATGTTTACATACTGTTTTACCCACTTTATATGTACAGTGAGGGGGAAAAGTATTTGATCCCCTGCTGATTTTGTACGTTTGCCCACTGACAAAGAAATGATCAGTCTATAATTTTAATGGTAGGTTTATTTGAACAGTGAGAGACAGAATAACAACAAAAAAATCAAGAAAAACACCTGTCAAAAATGTTATAAATTGATTTGCATTTTAATTAGGGAAATAAGTATTTGACCCCTCTGTAAAACATGACTTAGTACTTGGTGGCAAAACCCTTGTTAGCAATCACAGAGGTCAGATGTTTCTTGTAGTTGGCCACCAGGTTTGCACACATCTCAGGAGGGATTTTGTCCCACTCCTCTTTGCAGATCTTCTCCAAGTCATTAACGTTTCGAGCCTGATGTTTGGCAACTCGAACCTTCAGCTCCCTCCACAGATTTTCTATGGGATTAAGGTCTGGAGACTGGCTAGGCCACTCCAGGACCTTAATGTGCTACTTCTTGAGCCACTCCTTTGTTGCCTTGGCCGTGTGTTTTGGGTCATTGTCATGCTGGAATACCCATCCACGACCCATTTTCAATGCCCTGGCTGAGGGAAGGAGGTTCTCACCCAAGATTTGACGGTACATGGCCCCGTCCATCGTCCCTTTGATGCGGTGAAGTTGTCCTGTCCCCTTAGCAGAAAAACACCCCCAAAGCATAATGTTTCCACCTACATGTTTGATGGTGGAGATGGTGTTCTTGGGGTCATAGGCAGCATTCCTCCTCTTCCAAACACGGCGAGTTGAGTTGATGCCAAAGAGCTCCATTTTGGTCTCATCTGACCACAACACTGACCCAGTTCTCCTCTGAATCATTCAGATGTTCATTGGAAAACTTCAGACGGCCTTGTATATGTGCTTTCTTGAGCAGGGGGACCTTGCGGGCGCTGCAGGATTTCAGTCCTTCACGGCGTAGTGTATTACCAATTGTTTTCTTGGTGACTATGGTCCCAGCTGCCTTGAGATCATTGACAAGATCCTCCCATGTAGTTCTGGGCTGATTCCTCACCATTCTCATGATCATTGCAACTCCACGAGGTGAGATCTTGCATGGAGCCCCAGGCCGAGGGAGATTGACAGTTATTTTGTGTTTCTTCCATTTGCGAATAATCGCACCAACTGTTGTCACCTTCTCACCAAGCTGCTTGGCGATGGTCTTGTAGCCCATTCCAGCCTTGTGTAGGTATACAATCTTGTCCCTGACATCCTTGGAGAGCTCTTTGGTCTTGGCCATGGTGGAGAGTTTGGAATCTGATTGATTGATTGCTTCTGTGGACAGGTGTCTTTTATACAGGTAACAAGCTGAGATTAGGAGCACTCCCTTTAAGAGTGTGCTCCTAATCTCAGCTCGTTACCTGTATAAAAGACACCTGGGAGCCAGAAATCTTTCTGATTGAGAGGGGGTCAAATACTTATTTCCCTCATTAAAATGCAAATCAATTTATAACATTTTTGACATGCGTTTTTCTGGATTTTTTTGTTGTTATTCTGTCTCTCACTGTTCAAATAAACCTACCATTAAAATTATAGACTGATAATTTCTTCGTCAGTGGGCAAACGTACAAAATCAGCAGGGGGTTCAAATACTTTTTTCCCTCACTGTATACTGTATTCTAGTCATGTCTCATCCCATATAACTAATGCTGTACACACATGTTCTATTCATATACTGTCCATACACACCACCATACACATATATATTTATATTCCGGACTATGACATTGCTATTTCTGAATGATTGTATTTTTCTTTTTTGTATTTGTGTGTATTGTTTAGTGTTGTTAGGTATTAATGCACTGTTGGAGCTAGAAACATAAGCATTTCGCTGCACCTGCAATAACTTCTGCAAAATATGTCTACGCGACCAATACAATTACATTTGAATTAGATGGACTCCTCTTCCCTCAGAGCAAAGACCGGCAGGTTATGGTTTGATAGTTGATACAGTTTAATATTGGTACACTGCATAGCCACAAATGGAAGTGCCACACTCAAACCCATGTCTGATTGATTACATCTTATTTACATTCTGCCAGGCAATGTTAATCCATCATCATATCAAAGAAGCATGGCCGTTATCGGATTGAGAATCAGAAAGAGGCTGGCATGGATGTTTGTGTGTGTGTCGTTCTCTTTACCGCTGGCAAATCTGCACTAAGGCAGAGAGCCACCATCCTTGCAGTGAAGACATATTGTACCAATCTGGCCTTACAGCAATCTTATTTACTCCCATTTCAGTCCAATTAAGAGGCAGGAATGGGCCTTTTTCTAAGAGATACAGCATCCTTTGACTTTCCCCCTCTCTCTCTTAATGATTGTAAATGCCAACCTGATTATGACTTCACTATGGAGGGGGAATAGAGAGACTTCAAAAAGGTCTACTGGCACTGATTTTGAGAAGGGGGGAGGATAGACATCAAAGTGTCCTCTCGTAGCCCCACTCACCCCCCACCCTAAATCCATAATCAGCCGTGGGCGCCTGTCTCAGGGCCTAACCCCACCCTCTCCCCTCTGACCCTATCATTGGCTCCAGACCTCTCTGTCCCGAGGTGCCGTGATAGCTTTCATGTCTTGCAGTCGAGGTAGATGTCTTTGCACTAACAGCCCTCCAAACACAATCATCCAACCATCACAAACACCCCCCAAAATGTTGCAAGTCCAAAATCTCTATCTTCTAATTCAGAGTTTAAATGCTTTGAAGCAACCAGACCCACCTCCGAAGGATGAATTACTGCACTATAAATCTGATATCTACTCTTAAGTAGTTGAGACTGAAGAAGGGTCTGAAATGAGGGGTGGACAAGCTAACGTTGGTGTTGAGTCTTTAGCCATCTCCATGGCTCACTACATTATATGTACAGGACAGTTTTAGCTGTGGGGAGAATCAGTGATTGGGTCTGTCTTTCTCCTCAGGCAGGGTGTTAGAGGGGCTAATGTTGAGAGGCCATTATACAGAACAGCATCTGGAATCCCAATCTGATGAAATGGGAAGCATCAGCCTGCAGCCTGCCTCTCCTCTCCTCTCCTCCGAGTATGTGTTTGGACAGCCACTAGCTACATTTAGGCCACTTCTCCCGCTTCCGAAAATAAGACATGGGGTTTAAGTCGCATGGGTTGATTCACATGTCATATTTTTAGGGCTGCTAGATTCCTAACAAACACACTGAAAAGAACAGACCATAGAACAGATCATAAAATGTTTTTCTGTCCGGGACACTAACCAATGCTTCACTGTGAGACCACACCACTATCAACATAACAACCTCTGATCATCATCTACCTCATCCTCACCTGATTCTCGATGGCCTTCCTGTTCTTGGGGTCGCTGACGATGGACAGCTGCAGCTCAGCCATCTTCTTCATCTTGCTGTCCATGTCTATCTTCTGCAGCAGGCCTCTGATCTGGCTCCTAAGTAGACGCACCGTATCCTCCTTCCCATGACGCTTAGCGAACAGAGAGGCACTGGCAGAGTGGATGGCTGTCACCCAGTTCTCCAGGTCTGTCTGGTTGCTGGCCTGAACAGACAGAGTTGAAGGTAGGATATTAGATGATGGAGGTTTGAGGTAAGACCATAAATGGTAAGACTAGATTATTACTGAAAGATAATTAGTCCTGAATGGTTTATGTGATGGTATAAGCACTGCAAGACGCAGCGATGATAGTGATGTTATGAATGACATGCTTCCGGGTTGGCCTCTATATCTGGATGATTGACAGTTATAAGAGCAGAGCACTTTGCACCCATATTGTGTTCCTATCTTCCTCATGGCATATTATCATCTTCATGCCAGATTTTCCCATTTTTCCCATCTATACGCTATTACGTAATTTCACAGTCAATACAGTCAATCTTGAAAGGATCATATAGCTTGACAAAAACGATTACATTATCAGAGGACATGGGATGAAATGTGATAGGAATATGAGGGAGAAGTGATTCATGTAGGACACATGAGGGAGAACACAGGCTTCTATGATGCTTCATTTTATAGACTTAATGGTTTCCTGACCTCTTTAGAGTTTCAAGTGATGTTAAATCCACTTTACCATTTTATTAGATTTACACCGAACACCACAACTGGGATTTCATGCAATACACTCAGAAAAGCTTGTAAATGTGAGAGGAGAAAACTACTGAGGCCAAGTCAAGGCTTTAAGTCATCCAACACTGGAAATAAGGTCAGCGATAAACAAAATGTGCACACAAACAGAAAACCTCAAGATGGAGAGTTAAATTATTCTCCTTATAATCATTTACGAGCTAGAATCATTAAGTTGATCTGCTAGATTATACAGTCTAAAAATACACAAGTGTGTGGGATTGTGTGTGTGTGACTACATTTGTAAAACATCTCCATCCACTCCTATACAGTGTGAATATGCTGAACAATGCGTTGGTTCCATTTTTACATTTACATTTTAGTCATTAGCAGACGCTCTTATCCAGAGTGACTTACAGTTAGTGAATACATATTTTTTTATACTGGCCCCCCGTGGGAATCGAACCCACAACCCTTGCGTTGCAAACGCCATGCTCTATCAACTGAGCTACATCCCTGCCGGCCATTCCCTCCCCTACCCTGGACGACGCTGGGCCAATTGTGCGCCGCCCATGAGTTCCCTATTGTTCAGCTGACACAGTCAGTGTAATCTAGCAGCAGACTACACCACTCTGCTTGGCTGCCCAAGCAGGAAGAGACTATCAAACCAGGCTGCCACAGAAGCACGGAACATGCTTTCCTTTCAACCGACACAAAACATTCCCCACTAAGTAACAGCTTCTACTCCTCATTTGTGTGTTGAATTGGCTGGAACACTCAGCATGTCAACAAGCAGAGCAGAGTGATGGGGGAAATCAGAGCAACAACACCATGATGTGCTCATGAAGCTAACGCCAAGCTAACGCCACACTAAAACACAGTATCTACTGCATATCCATCCACTTGGGGATAAATACTGTGGACATCTACATTTTCTTGTTTGAACAGTGAGTTTGAAGAGGTAGACCTCACCTGGAAGAGGTAGACATCTCCGTAGGTGTTGCTGAGACAGAAGACGTTCTCCTTCTTGGGGTGTTCAGGAATGGCCTGGACGATACTGTCCTCTGCAAACAGGGCGTAGCGCGGAGACAGCTCCTGCTCTGGAGAACCCTTACCATAGGTCTCATAGAACAACAAGGTACAACCTGGAGGAAGAGGAAGAGGTTGGTCATTAGAGGGAGGAAGAACACAGCTCAGAGGAATGTCCTCATAACCTGACATTTATTTGTCTCTGCTGTTCTTCAGTAATTTACAGTAAGTGGAAGAAAGGCTGAAGGATCCACCCACACTCTCTCATGCTCCTGGCCTGAGGTTGATCTATTTAGCCGGTAAATGCACTGGTAAAATTCCTTGTGAGCTTTTAGGATAGCGAAGGATCAGTGTACGGTAAATGTAATGCACAGGCTAAGTAAAGGAGATGGACTCTGCCAAGGACACACTGTAGTCTTCCAGAAAAACCATGTGAAGAGCTGCTTAAGTGATATGTCTGGTTTTACTTAAACTTTAAATGTGATTTAAAGTTTGAAACTAACTTTCCCCTCTGTCTCCCAGCGTAAATTAAATTTCAGTTTATGTATTCCATGAACAATTTAGTGGTTATATCTACTGAACCTGAGGATGTAATGCCTCCAATGCTAAAGTTCAAGTTACACTTTGACCTTTGGTTGCCCTCTAACCCCCCTCACACCTTTACCACACCTTTCAATGTACCAAACCTATTGAGCATCAAGCTCAACTCGATTTCAGTGAGGTATTGAAGGTCCAATTCAATATTTATATCAACTGGACCTTTGATGGCAATGTCGCAAACCCTCTTTCTCTCTGGCCACCCACCCCTACTCACCTTTCAGGGTGACCCAGTACTGTTTCCACTTCCTGCGTGTGACCAGCTCCAGCTTCCTGTCCTTGTGCAGGGTGAGGAGGGGTTTGAAGGAGAGCCAGCCGGCCCTGCGTACCACCCCCTGCTCCTTTTCAAACAGCATGTCCAGCTGCTCCAGAGAGTCGCCCGCAGACTCACTGCTGCTCTCCCCCCCTTCTGTCCCCGTAGACGGGTCTCTCCTCTCACCACCTCCCCCTGCTCCTCCACTACTGCCCTGCCCAGTCCCTGTCTCCAGCTCCTGCATGAAGTTCTCATAGATGTTCTGGTGGAGGGCGTCGCTGCTGTGGTGGAGGGCCCCTGCAGACTGGGCCCGGGAGGCCCCAACATTGCCAGGTACGCCAGGGTACCACAGGCTGAATACCTGGGAGGGAGAGCTGGTGTCAGCTGTCAGGCCATCCAATCCACTGTCAAAGGCCTCGCTGCCGTCCTTATATCTGGGCTCCTGGAAGGGCACAGAGAGGCGAATAAGGTGAGGAGAGGGATGAAGTGAGAGTGAGAGGGTGGGGGGAAGACTGTGGGGTGAGGGTAGGGAGAGAGGGTGGGGGGGGAGACTGTGGGGTGAGGGTAGGGAGAGAGGGTGGGGGGGAGACTGTGGGGTGAGGGTAGGGAGAGAGGGTGGGGGGGAGACTGTGGGGTGAGGGTAAGGATAAAGGGTGGGGGGGAGACTGTGGGGTGAGGGTAGGGAGAGAGGGTGGGGGGGAGACTGTGGGGTGAGGGTAAGGAGAGAGGGTGGGGGGAGACTGTGGGGTGAGGGTAGGGAGAGAGGGTGGGGGGGAGACTGTGGGGTGAGGGTAAGGATAGAGGGTGGGGGGGAGACTGTGGGGTGAGGGTAGGGAGAGAGGGTGGGGGGGAGACTGTGGGGTGAGGGTAGGGAGAGAGGGTGGGGGGAGACTGTGGGGTGAGGGTAGGGAGTAGGGTAGGATGAAGTGAGAGTGAGGAATCCTTTTGGCATAGAGCATGTACTGTCTCGATGCCAGAACTTTCCAGACTGAGAGAAACAAATTCCTGAGGCTGGCACCTAGGTGACTGAAGTTCTTGAGACAACTTAATTGAGTCTGCGAGGGCACCCTAGCTTCCTGATCTCAGTAGAACACTACTTCATGCGATTACACTCTTTCAGGGGTAATGAAAGCCTACCTGCACTCCACTAGATTGCAGCATTGATTCTCCCCTGGCAACTGGGTTGGGTGCACTTCAAACACAAAGAGTGTTCCAATGCCCTTCCAAAGCAACCCTTCCTCAGTCTCTCGCTGAGTCTACCCCCTCCTCTCACTGTCTGTCAACCTCTCCCTTCCTTCCCTGTCTGTCAGTCTTCCCAAGCCTCCCCCAGTCTCTCAGTCTCCCCTTTTTTCCCCTTAGTCTCCCCTAGTCTCTGCTTTCTTTCCCAATCCCCCTCTCCATCAGTCTCCCGCCTTCTCCCCCAGCTGTTTCTCATTAGAACCTGGGCTGGGCCTGAGTGGATGGCTTGGAGGGTGCAGCGCAGCGAGAGCTCTGAAGCCCAGGTGGAGGGCAACGAGAGCTGGAATTAGTCCTGATTTGGGTCGAATCGTTGAAAAGAGGCTGCATGGCCAGACACTGTGATATATGGTAATATATGGTTCATTGAGCAAATTGGAAGCTGGCGGTGATTAGGTGGCTATGGTGGAACTAGCCCCAGCGGAGAGCCCCAGACAGTGTGGCCCCTGAACCAGCTCTGTCCTGGGCACCACAGAGTCACCAGAGTGCAGAGAGACCCAACTCTGAATGTCTCCAATTAAACTATACAGAGCTCAGTTGGAAACATCACGCTCCAACATTTGCCCATGAAGAAGTTTGAGTCGGAACACTGAAAGAGACCATTTATCAAAACAAATATCACTCTGCTCATTTGCATTCTGTTCTGAAGCCTGGGGTTGCCCAATGCCTACAGATACATACATGTTATGTGTGCTAGAGTTGAAAGGAGAACAGGGATTTGATTGCTACTCTGATTGACCAGAGCTTGTTGGGGAGTTTCTCATGGACCTTTGAAGCTGTGCTGGGAATCTGAACAACTTCAAATCACAGTCCCTCACAAGCCCCCGTCCTTCTCATTGAAAGGTAAATTAGTTCAATACTGCATGGAAGCTGTATCCTAGGTCTCTTCCCAAACCCAACACATAGCAAGAGATGACCAGGGCTTAAGATAGGAATGAAGTCATTTAGAGTGAAAGCTCTGTCCCCAAGAGAGATTAACCCTCTTGTGCCAACGCCGGTAACACCCAGATATTTTAGTTAGACCCTAATGCCCTAATGAACTAGCACCTATCCATACAGTACATACTAGTGGATTGGCTCTCTGGAGAGGAGGACAGGGGGTCGAGTAGAAACCCAGAGCAGCGTCACCAAATCATAATCACCATGACAACCACATCATTAAGAGTGGGGTGGAGTTTCGAAATCTTCAGCTGGGACTTAGTTTCACTAACAGAGATTTCATAGGCTTACAGCAATTATCTTGGAATGGTTTGAAAAGCATTTTAAAAGTTTAAAAGATAATTAGTGCATAATGTATGATTTAAAGCCACAGTCACAGAGGGCCACGTTTCAAGCAGTTTGTAAGCTAATTTGGGAATATCTAACAACACAAATTCTGAGCAATTAACTACTTAGCCTTTGTTGCAGAAAATATGACTATGGTGATTACATGTATGGGGCTTAAATGCTCTTAATAAGCTATTACATACCCATAACACACATTTACACAAACACACTTTATCCAATGATTTCTCAAACAGTCTGGTGTAATTTTATAGGTCCGGTTCTCAGCTGTCTGACCCATACTGCAACACTGACCTGTGTACGTCATCCAGACCTGCTGTCAACTGGTAGATAACATCTATTTTCAACCACTCACACAATATCATTTCAATGAAATGCACAGACAAGCTTGTCTCAAATCAAATAGTACCAGTACACTAGAGAAAAAAACACTGTTTCAATCATCTAGACCCAAACTGGAGGATATCGTCTGATCATAACAATGCACTCAACAGCAAATTATATACAATGGAGAGCTATGCCTCCTACACAGGGCAGTCTACATATTCCTTTCATTGGCATGATGTTGCTAAAAACACTAAACTGACATGACCTCTTGTACCCACCCAGAAGTAGTCATGGAATCTGCAGACCCCTTGGCTTTTCATCCTTACTCTCCTTCTCACTGTTTCATGTCTTATTCTCCGGTAGACGACTGCATCTCTAGTCCCTACACAATGCACCATCCGCTTCCCAAATTTCATTCCGCGGTACCCTGTGGTTCCCTGTACTCAGACAGCTGGTATTGTGGTACTCGGGATCGGGGACACTGTTGCGTTCCTGGCGAGACGACACCGACCGCTGAGGCACATGGCCCAGGTAACCAGTAACAGTCCCCAGCCAAGTAACTGTCAGAGAGTTGCTTCCTCTGCCACCCCACCCCTCCCTCACTAACAGGACACTAACAGGGTTGGAACACTAGTCTGTGCCAAGCACTGGGAGACTCCAGAGTCATCATATTCTCCTGTGGAGCCATGGAGCTGCAGACAATCACATCTCAAAACAGGGAAATTCCAAAGGACACACTTGATGCAGCTAAGGCAGTACCTTTATTACAGACTACAGGTTGACTACATGGAGACTAGCAATAGGCTATGACTACAGACCTAACTGCAAACACACTGTACATACCAAGCGATGAAGATAGTTCATAGATCTGTATACACCCTGTGAAGTACAACATCAGTTTAGAACCTGAGAAAATGTGTTGCCTTGCCACTGGCTCGGTTTATTCTTTGTGACATTTTGTGACAAATGTTTCTGTTAAAAAATATGAAGAAATTCATAGATTGTTTGAGCACTGGGACCCTGACCTACACAGACAACCCCAGACGACAGCCCCACTCACCTGTGTCTTCCTTTTCTTCCTGCTGAGACTTCCAGTCCAGTCACTGAGGCGTCTCATGCGGCTCCTGACGGAGCCAGAGCCCTTTTTCAGGGTGGAGACCTCTCCACTGGGCCGGGCCTTACGGCAGGGCAGGGTGTAGGATGAGTACTGCCTGGCCTCTGGACACTCCTCCTCAGCAGGCACGCCCAGGGATGAAACAAAGGAGGCCCGGTGCTGGATGTGATGGGAGTGAAGAGGGGATTCCCTGTACTGGGCCGACAGGTCCTTAGCTGTGGGGAAGGTGGCAGCCATACTGGGGTCCCTGTAGAGATCTGAGATGGACAGAGGGGGAGACTGCTGGCCAAAGGCCTCCAACTGGTCAGCCCTACGGTTTCCCATAGACCTACTGGAGGAACAGGACTGGTCTTGGTCGCAGAGCTCCGCGCTGGGCCCCCAGGGCGAGTCGTACCAGGAGCCCTCTGAGCTCAGCGAGCTGCCCTTGCTGGTCCTGGCGGTGGAGGTTGAGGCTGGCTGCGGAGCACCGTGGTGGGCCTCAGGCCTGCTGCTGCCAGGTAGACTGGGTGTGGACTCCAGGGTGGGGGAGAACTTGAGCAGCTGCACTGGCCCAGATGCCTCATCTAGCAGCAGACCACTGTTAGTGTTGGTGAACTCCACCCTCAGACTACCATCCTTCTTGATGACCACCCTGGGACTGCTCTGCTCCTCAAGCCCCTCTTCCCCCTCTCCTCGCATCCTCTCTGGGGTCCTGTGTCCGTTCAGAGCATGGTCGTTCAGATCCCCTGATGCTCTACTGTACAGGCTTCCACTGCCCTCATATTGGCAGCATCTATTCTCAGCTGGGAGGTGTGAGCAGCCTCTTGGTGGGGAGCCATGCCAGCGATGGCAGTTTGGACTGCCCTTCACCCCCTTGGTGACGTAATCATAGTGTCTGGAGACATATGGCTCTCCTCTCCTCTGTGGGGGGGAGAGGCAGCGTCGACCAACAGCCCTGGCCTTGTACCCCGAGCCCCCCGGCCCACCTTTCCACCACGTATTGGGGGACAGAGCCTCCTCTTTGGTTGAGCAGAACTTTAGTGAGTAGGGCTTTTGTTTCCCGGGGAAGATTAAGCTGGTTCCCTTGGGCCCCTGAATGCTGTACTGGCTCTCAGAGTTTCCCATTGCGATCTGGAAGACAAAAGAGACTGATTCTGTCAGAGATACTATGGAAGGCAAGGCAGACATCTGTTGGGTTAAATCATTTCAGTTCTCGTCACACAGCTGTGCTGAGAGGGAGGCCTTGTACTGTAACTCAGATTGGTCATGGTTGAGCAAACTCAGTCCACATGGACATTACCACACTACTCTTAGTGACTAATGATTCCTATGGGAGGTCGTCAGTCACGGACTAGGTTTAATCAGATAACATCTGAGTGAAAAGGACAAAGAAAAGGTATAATTGCGCAGGAGAGTGTCAGGATGAAAAAGTCTTATAATTACAAAGACATCCTGTTCTTCTCATTTTACTCCTTTTCCAGGAAAGGTACCAAGGCGGCGGCATCACTAGTGTGACCAACAAGCTTTAAGCCTTCATGGCTGTTATGTGTGACGGGATGGTGTGAAATAACTTCCAGATAAGGGTTTTAGATTAGGGAAGGAGGGGCATGACCAGACCGGACATCTGATGGAAGTGAATCAAATAACTGTAGAGTGCGGTTTGAGACGTAGCGGTTTGGTTTGACATTTGTTTGTCAACTGTAATATGTTACTGAAGGCAGCTATGGCGCACTTGCTGTGATTTCATTGCATAATTGGTATAGTTGGCAATACTACATTAGCGTTAGCCTACCATTTTCCACTCCCTGCACTGCTTAAACGTGCTAAGACACTGACCTACAATCACTATCACTTATAGAAGCACTGTTAATAATCGCTGATAGGAGACAGAATCTGAGACTCACCTGTGTGTCCTATAGTCTCAATCTCTTCTCAGAGGTCCTCCAGTGGGCATGGTGGTCCTGGATTCCTCTGCTCTCAGGCGACCCTCTCTCCTCCTGCTGCACAGCCAGGACCATCTGAGGGACACACAAAGGAGAGCGGTTGGGTTAGGTAGCGATTGTGTTATCACTATGGCAGCACAGCTCTGTTAACTGCCTGTGACAAACCCCAATGTTTGATAACAGGTGTTGCAATTAGGGCTGAGTCATAATCTGGTGTTCAGTAGAGCTTTGGTATTTTAGTGGTTAAGAAGAGGACACCCAGCTTTGATCAGAGGACTACTCTCCATTAAGGTACTGAGGAACAGATTCACTTTGCAAAATCCCCAATGTCTGTTTGCAAGAGGAATAACACCACATGGCTACTGTACCTCATCCGAAGAGAGAACATTCTTGGCATGCAACAGACTAAAATTGAATTACAACTACAAGCTTTCGCTGTCAAAGGCATATACAGTAAAGAAATGCAATGCTTCCATGTGTAGGCTCAAACCTGCACCAGGTTTCCATCACAGTGATCCTGAAGGAGTCAGCCCAGGTCTGTCTCTGCTGTGCCACTCTGTCTCTATGACTACTGTAGAAACCCACTCCTCCCCTCGGACTGAAAATCCCCTTTATATTCCTCTCCAACCTAAACATTACTCACATTTTTCCAACTCCGCAGAACTCAATGACGTCTTCTTTGATCGGTTGGGAAAGTTTTTGAAAGCCTGCTACAGTTTGCCCTGCTGTTTATTTTTAAACACTGGAATTCCAGCCTTTTTCTTTGCTTCCCATTGCCAAATTTGTCCAGGGGTGGATTCCAAAAACAGAAACTGCTGGAGAGCTTTCTTACCATAGCTGTGGGCTCAGCTGAGGAAAGAGCCCAACCCTTGCAGTATATAACCCTTCTACATGTAGCTCACGCTCCAGGAAAGCATTCACATGATCCCCATCCTCCACTGGAGCAGCAGCAGCACACGTACAGCATGTGTGAGAGGCCAGGCCATAGTGTAAATACCCTGGGGAATAACTCATCTGTGGCATTACTGCTGTTTACCTCTCCTTCTTACTGCACCTTGAATTTCGAGACCTTCGAGAGGCGCAAGATAAGAGTCTGCTTAATTACTAGATGTTCTATACTGTTGCATATAGGCTGAGGGTAATAGGGAATCAACAACTCCGGCTTGAGAGTAAAGGAGATCTGTAGCATAAGTGTGATGTCACAGTCACACAAACTTGTTTTGTTTGGTACCTGTGACCTTCCCAATGTGGTCAGAGGGACAAACACAGCACCGTGTTAAAGGAAATTAAGCCTTGGTTGTGAGAATGTATTCTATCAAGCTTCTATGAAGTGGGTCAGTCAGGCACAAGGCAAACAATTTAGCCAAGTTTGTTTTTAGTCCTGACCTATTACAAACTGCTGCTAGCCTTCACCAGCTATAACTATTCCCACATCTTGTAGAACCACTACACCGATCATGAACTTGACATAGGTCATACAGTGATAAGATAATAGCATCTATTCTCTATAGATAAAGATACAGATGTAGGATCTTAATTTGATAATTATTTTGTTGATGAGAATGTTCATGCACAGCAGGAAATGCAAACTTGTAGTGTATTGAAGGTTTAAAAAGGCTTTGTAATTTCAACATACAAATTTCAGACTTGATTTGCCCTAACGTAAAATGTATCAATCCCTACAAAAAATATCCATGAATTATAATCCAGAAATCCTGACAGAAAGTGTTCTTGGAGTTGCCAAGTCTAAGACGTCTAGCTCTGACAGATACAGTTAGAAGGGTTGCCGAGTCGAAGGCCTCTGACAGCTAGAGTTCCCAGGGTTGCCAAGTTAAGGCCAGAGGCCACGTGTCCAAGGTTAAGAGTCAACAGCGGTCATGAGTGCCTGGTCGACCGCAGTTGGCCCACTCCACTAGGCTCATAGTCCCTGGCCCTGCCCTCCACAGCGTTCTGTGTCTGTGGGAAAACCGGAGCGCCATCTCTCACGGCCGGGTTTACCATCCATCTGCCATAGTCTCCGCATCTACCCCCTCCTAACCTTCTGACTCTCTGATCAAATCAAATCAAATTGTATTTGTCACATGTGCCAAATACAACCTTACCGTGAAATGCTTACTTACAAGCCCTTAACCAACAATGTAGTTCAAGAAATAGAGTTAAGAAAATATTTACTAAATAAACTAAAGTAAAAAATAACAATAAAATAACAATAACGAGGCTATATACAGGGGAGTCAATGTGCGGGGATACAGGTTAGTCGAGGTAATTTGTACAGTAGGGGTAAAGGTAGGTTTACTTTACCTCTTTGTAGGTAGGGGTAAAGTGATAATAAACAGTGCGTAGCAGCAGTGTAAAAACAAAGGGGGGGGTTAGGTAATCTGTTGAGCTTGACCCCAGATGGCAGGAAAATTGACCCCAGTGATGTGCTGGGCCGTACGCACTACCCTCTGTAGCGCCTTACGGTCGGATGCCGAGCAGTTGCCATACCAGGCGGTGATGCAACCGGTCAGGATGCTCACGATGGTGCAGCAGTATAACTTTTTGAGGATCTGGGGACCCATGCCAAATCTTTTCAGTCTCCTGAGGGTGGAAAAAGGTGTTGTCGTGCCCTCTTCATGACTGTCTTGGTGTTTTTGGACCATGATGGTTTGTTGGTGATTTGGACACCAAGGAACTTGAAACTCTCGACCCGCTCCACTACATCCCCATCGATGTGAATGGGGGCGTGTTCGGCCCTCCTTTTGCTTTGACAATGATTAGCCCCTCGAAGATAAAGAGTTTGAAGCGGGGAAATTGCTCCACGTCCCTCAAAATGAATGAGGAGAAACCAAACAAAGCTCTTTAGGACCAAATAGACAAATGCAGCTGGCGTGCTCCAGGAGTCACAATGGTTACTTCCAGTTCCTTTCACTGCTAGTTCTGACACAGAGCCAACTTCTGACTGCTTTTATTCAGGCAAGGGAAGGCTGCAAGTTTGAAAGGCTCAAAGGCACAAACACATTTTCGTAGACGTCAGCCTTGTGCTGTGGGGTGAACCGGAGCTTTGTAACCATTTTTTGGGAGGGGAACACGTCTTCCTTGTCCACAACACTGAATCCCTGCCTGCAGCCCTGTGCCTATCAATAGCCCCTACGCTATAGGCCATCTGTTCAGGGACAAAGAGAGCTCACCCTCCCCTATTCTCTGCCAGTACCTTGTGACCTGGCATTCTCCTGCTAATGCCCAGGATGACTACCACATCCTCTCTCTGTTTAGTCTGACAGCATGTCTCAGGGATGGAGCCTTGGGCCAAGTCAGTAAGGACACTCTTCCACAGAGTATAAACACTGCATAGTTGTGTTGTAGAGAGGGTGGGGGGTGTAATAGTGGGGTGTCTATGTCATGAGCAAACTGCATGTCCTTGAGACAGACACACACACACACACACACACACACACACACACACACACACCAAGCAACTGCAAAAAGGCCAACAAGGCCAAGTCTATATTAGACAGTAGACAGTTCACACAGGGTTGCATATTGAGCCATGCTGAGGCTGTCTGTGAAAAACACTCGTCCTTGAAGGTAAACGTGAGCCTCAGCAAACCCCTTGACACAGCAGTGTGAAACATGGGGCTGGGTTGGGCCTTCCATGGAGGACACCAGCCCCAGCCTCAGCACTACAATTCCATACTAGTTCACTTTTTAACCCACTAAACTACAGAACCCTGGAGATCAGGAACCACTAGCTGTGCATTTCTGGGCTAGCCATAAGTGGACACTGAAACTTGTAGTAAAAGAAAAATCACACCATGAAATGAAGAATTCGTCTGCATAGCCCTATTAGTGGAAATGATCAATCCGTCAAACACAGACAGACATCTTGGTTTTGGCTTCAATCGGACATTAAGTAAACTAGAACAATAAACAGGCAAAACTATTGTCTCATTAATCATTTAGTATTTAAAAGGTTTCAGGTCTCAAACTTCATTGTTCCCTCAGACCCATAATATAATCTAGTATTATCATTCATTATCCAGCTCTCCCTCATGTTACCTTCCTTCTGTCAAATCAGTACCCAGAGGACTCCTCCCTTATCACTTATTACCTTCCTGTGGCACAGTGCCTCAGCCTAGCCTAATGCCTAGCTAACTCTTAAAGGAGCAGTACGGTATAATCTAGCCACAGCTGCTAGAAGCA